ACGGAAGGGGGGGGCAAAAAATTTTTGCCTTTACCAGATTTGACCACTAACGACCGAGCAAGCAGGGAGACTTGTCTAGACTGACAACTCAATTCTGAGCGAGATTTTCCTCTCACTGATCAGCGTTTGGCGCCGCCACATGAGCTGCGGAATAATTTACGAGAGCACCTAATTCATGGCTAACTACTCGGACACACGCACGGTAGAACTTTTGAGTCGAAATCTCTTTGGCCGCGCGTCGAAAAAGACATGTCTATATAGCCTTATGCATGTGATGACAAATATTGGACTGACGCGTCTGCCCTAATTCTTCGAACCCGATTAATGGTGTGATCGCCCTTGATCGGTAAGGGGCACAAACGACGGGAATCGACACATTGCACAGCTTAATTGATAGGTGTTTTCCTTGTTGGGCATAAAGAAGGGACTCGTACCAACGCCGTACTCATCCTCAGTCAGATGGTTTGGTTGAGCGGTTACCAGCACAATTACGACTGCGAGCAGAGCAATAATATTGCAGCGAAATTTCAAATCACGACTACCTCTACCATTATGAGATATAGATTCGACATATTAAATCAGACTCAAGGGCTGATAGTAAAGTCAAATGACATGCGACCAAAGGCAGCTGCGATGAATGTATGTCACCAAATACGTCTGTCTTAGCCGTAGCGTTTGTACAATGGCGGGCTTGTATCGGGCGCGGTCACGACGCAGGGGGAGAGCAAGCATATCGGGCGCTAACGCCCTAGAACCTCCCCTATGATGTCCTCTGCCGGCGGGACGGTCCGGGGCGCATGCCCGCTTTAGATTTACATGTTTGATCCTCCTCCAGCTTCAGGCTGACCATGAGTATCTGCCCGATAGTAATTTGCCGAAAACATGGGCAGTTCGGCTGATCTACAGAGGCTAGGGATTTCCTCGTACCTCAGAGCAGAGACGCGCTCTAAATCGATCGTATGCCGCGCAGTTGGACTAGGCTAGGACAGTCTATTCCTAAGCTTGTCGGCGCAAGCGGAGAGAGGAAAAAAGCAGCGCGCGTTACGATCGTAGTAGGTTCGCTAAGCTATTCTAACGTTTGCGTCCACCCGGGAATGGCGTGTCTTTGGCGACCACGGATATTTTCTGCGGATCCCCTTCTGCCCCGCGGAAGGGTCTAAGTTGAGGTTCGCATGCCCGTGCGGGCGGCCCTTTCTAGTATTGCAGATAGGGGTAAAGTAGCGCTTATTATTTGCAGTAGGACGTTCTGAGTTCGGATTCAATGTGGCTTCCCCCAGGAGCTAGAGTTTTTGTCGTTAAGCGTGAACGACGTGGGCGCACAGCGTAGATCACCCTCGAAAATCTACCGGGAGGTGTGGAGTAGAGCCAGCCTGTCTCCATGACGACGTTTGTGGTAGAGCTGCGGTTGGCTCATCCACTTATCTAGAGAGATTTAGAGCGCAGAAGTCACATCGGCCGTGTGCATGTGGAGCATAAACCCGAGTCGTTACGTTACACCGATTCTCATTTCGAAGTGGACTTCTGCAAAACGATTTTTTCGTGCCGTGGTTTCACAAAGCTCTGCCTGGGCATGTCGTGCGATACTCGAGAGTCCGCGCAGCACGGAAATCCCACGGTGTTGAAGGCGATGTAAGCGGGATCGACGTAGAGTGTACAGTGGCTTATGCGATTTTCTCGTTCTAGTCCGCAATACTCAAGTGTCTGAGAGTGAGTCTCAACCAGTGCGTTTGGCCTCTCCAGCGAGTTCAGTCCATTGCGGGCTTCTGGAGAGGATCCTGTTAAAGCGATTAGCGTGGATTGTTACGCGGACTTCCAGGCTCGCCATGCGACTGCGACGACCGTTTTTGGGTGAGTTTTTGTTATGGGTTTGACGTTCGCCCTTAACCCACCGTTGCTCACGCAAGGTACGGCTGAGCCCACCACGGGCTAGAAGGCCACTTGAGTCGAAACCTACTCGATGGTCAACTACTGTCGTGATTGCGGTTCCCCGTAGTAGGTGATCGGTTCAGGCGCACCCGAGGGGTGACTTTGGGTTTTGTGAGCTTATTCGCTAGACCAGAGCTTTGCAATCGCCCATATTAAATCGGTAGCTAATTCGCTTCGGCCTCTCAAGGTTCTAAGCACGATCTTATTACTCGTATTGCCATGCGTAGAGGCGGGGCGCCCAGTAAACTATTCCATGACTGAGGACTGTAGGTGGGTGCCGTTGCCAGCCGATACAGGTGTTATCTGCCATTGGGGTAATTCTGATGCAGTTTACGTTAATGCGTTTCAAAGTAAACCGCTGTGAAATTTTATTCTTTGTCGTGTAGAGGCCGGTCCGATCTCGCTCCTCGCGGGTCCAGATTAGTAAGGCCTCATGGAGCGTTTTATTGTTCACCGCCTAGACAGTGTGTTTATTACAATGTGGAATCACTCATCAGAGTTAATTCGTGTACTTACGAGGCTATTGCTTTGATCTTTTAGAGCTGTAGTCTCGCGGCCGCGTTGCGATGTGGGTGCGTCTGCGGGCGAGTTTCAGGCGGACTCTATGATTGACCATAGCCTAATTATATCCGGGATCGACGTTCCCCTCTTCCAGGTGTTTCTCGCATAATACTACGTCTCACCTTGCTTTGAGCGCTTGGTGAGCTTGGTGTAAGCCTGCGGACTGCGCTAGGCTTCTCAAACGATTGCGAAGGCCGCTATGCGTCAGGCGCCACCCGCTGGGCATCCGGAGGCTCCGTGTGGGGGGGCCAGGCGTTGTTTCATTACAGGTTTATCATCAATGCGCCAAGCGTTACTTGTTACTGCCGCGCCGGACTCTGTAGGGAGCACTGGGCGCCAATTGGAGCGAGTTCCTCGACCTGCTGGTGTTATAAGCGCCTGTTAAAGTCCATTCAAAATATCACGAGGGGCACCCATACTGGACCGGCAGGAATTTTCCGGCCATACTCGCCTGGGCGGGCTGAGGCGGTGGAAAGAAACCACAGTAGTGATTTACCGTGTTGAGACTGGCGTCAATGCGATTTTTTTCTCGTTGACGGACGGGCAAAATGGGCGTAAACCGTAGGGACGCGGGCCGCGGGTTCCATTAACTGCCTACGGATCCGTGCTCGGGTCGGTCCCCAAGCGACGCCCCCCTCCCTGTCCGCTGGAATGTCGCCACCGCCACTGATCTCGCGGCTTCCTGTTAGGGAGCATCCATTGTTTTCCGGTTCAGTCAGAAAAATGTCATTTTTCGGTGCGCACTGTCGGAGTCTTCGGCCGACGGCCCGAGGCCTGTAACCGTTCAGGTGGGCCTACCAGCCGCTCTACAATCTACACCAACCGAGCATTCGAGGATTTATGTAATCCCTATGTCGCCGAAACGCTTGAATCTTGGTGTTATCATACCCACCAAGATTATAGTTGTCGGAGTGGTTCGAGATCGAAATTCCCGGAGATTATCCATTGGCTAAGCCGCGAATGCCGCCATCCGACATGATGGCGTCGTCCGGACCGGTGTTGGTTGGTGGTGTTTGGTGTGAAAACTCCGATGTATTACGAGCTGCGTACGGGGAATGGCCAGCGCGACGGTTGCTTCAACCGAACGTGTGTACGTCATATGGTGTGAGTTACTCGTTTCAGGGAGATGATGAATGAGGACGGCAGGATGACGCGGGATGGGGTCGACCACGCAATTCCTGCGGTGGAGGCGAGTAAGTGAGGAGGATCAAGCGTGAGTACACCAAGCACCTGTGGTCCTTGTGTCTCACCACGCACGTGTGACGTCGACGGTGAAGGTGCTGGTGGCTTGTAGTGGTCCCCGTGTGGCGGGTGGTAACAATCTCGCGTTTGTTGCGGTACCCGTGAGCCGCACATTTACGCTCGTACGCACGCATGCAGACGCACACACAATTACTACTCTTATTTGGCTCAACTCCCATGATACAAATGCTTCGTTTTTTTTTGACGTTGAGCGCGTAACATGACCGCTTACATCTGTACATCGCTATAGGAATAATCCACACACGACACAACGCAACGCAGCACGACAAAACCTAGAACACGCAATTAAATCAAACCGGCACTGTCACATTATACCAATTTTGTTAAGTTCTAGAAAAATACAAGAGCCTTGATTAGGCAATTAAATCATCACAATTACACAATTATTATTAATAACGACATATCTGAAAACGTCGATCTGTTATATAACTACAAAACAAAACAACGAACAATATATCAACGTAGGTCGCATATTACATATACGAATATGGTAACGTATGTTTCACCAGAATACACATTTTATTGATTTTACACATTACACATTACACATTACACATACACATTACATTACATTACATTACATTACATTACATTACATTACATTACATTACACATTACATTGATTACACATTACAATTGATTTTATTTATCTGGCCTAACGCATACATTTCCGACAGTGTATAAAATTGCATGATATTTTTTATTAGGCATTTATATCGCAATTTATATGGCTAATTAAATTATCAAGAGCTAATAATAAGAGGTATTATTAGCTCTTGAAATTATATATCGACTTACAAAGTCCAGTAGGAGTAAGGTATAAAAGATATGATAATCGAACTCTTGAATAAATAACTCACGATAAACCCTATGAACATTGGCAATACTGTTAGATATAAGTATATGCAAAAATAAGAACCCCCCCCCCCACAAAGTCTTGCACACTCGCATAACCCAAGGATCTAGATTCTAGATCATGGCTAGATGTACTGGCTGTATGTGGCGGATATACAGGGACCGTCCTAAACTGAAACGTAAACTAGCGAAATATGATCGAAAATCGCGCTCGTTCATTGGTTAAAAGTCGCATATTTCGTGTCAAGTTAAAATTACATTTTATTCTTTTCTAGTTTTTTTGAAGATTTTTACCATAAGTGTTTAGATAATTTTAAATTAAAAAACCACTGAATAATTTAATATCATGCACGAGATTTCGCGCGGTATTTGCAAGTGAGGGTTGACAAAAACATGAAATGCGGACTAGTTACAAGATGGAAGGGTTTCCTCTAAATTTCGTAATGACATTATTAATGTTTCACAATCACACTAGGCCTACTGATAGTTATCATACCTACTAGCCTAATCTAGTTTTTGATGTTGTTCTGAGTTTTTTTTTTTATACGTGTAATGCTTGAATACACACATTAAATTTGGTGATCAAAGATTCGAACAACAACCTCTGCTTCAGTGCTTAGTTTATAGTTAGAGTTAGATTCGAATAGATTAGCACTTATTGAGTTATTCGTGTTCCGTTAAGACTCAAGATCACTTAGATGCTTCCTATTTGGTTTTAATCAATTTCATGACTACGGTCATTCTCTACGTTACTAAGCTCATACTAGTCATAACCTCATAAATAATAAATATTACTATTACTATTAGTCTTCAAAGTCCAAGGGACTAGGTAGTAGGTACCCCTATATGTATATCGAAGATTAGAGAGAAACAAAGTTGGTCGACATCAACACTGCGGATCACAAGCACTTGAAGCGTTTCAATAAAATATAATGCAAACTAAATACGAAATCTATTTAGTACCAAATTCTAAATGTTTCTATACTTTCTTTCACCTATTATTGCCGACAGTTTCCTGTAAATTCCGTCCAAATCCTACGTGCAACCATATACGCTGCCGGCGCCATTGCTCTCGCGGCTCCACTGTTGCACGCTTACACTAATATATATAGAAGGTAGGAAAGCGGGATAGCAAAATTTGCTCGACGCTCGCTGGATTTCACACTCACAGCACGAATACACATCCAACAGCTGTCATCTTTGTTTCTATGTCAAGAACAGTGTTCACTTGTTATAAAAACATTGTCTCTGTTCGTAATCGAGCTGTGTCACGTGAAATCACACAAAGACTGACGAAATTCTCGCGTTCGCGAACCTTGCTCCGTAATGTAAATGGCTGTCAGAATCAGGAAACACATAGACTGGGACTCGCTCCCACCTCGATTACCCATCGAGTGACTAAGCTAAGCCGAGAGGTGGGAGCGAGTGCCAGTCTATGGTCTATAGGCGGCGCACTGCTTTCCAACTCCCATACGAGCCTCGCCATTGGAACGTTGCAAAAACGTTGCACATGGTTTGCACAGTCCTTGAAAAGTCCTTGAATTTGAGGGGAGTCCTTGAAAAGTACTTGAATTTAGTGAAAATGTTCTTGAATTTCATGAAAATGTCCTTGAATTTTTAGAAAGAATCCTTGCCTGTAATAAAAAGAAATTTTGTACCATCAATAATGTGCAAACCTCAATAAAAATTGCGTTAAGTGAGCTTAAAAAGCTATAGACACGATAGACAGTTAAATGATGATCACAAATTACAGTAAGTCAAGAAAATCAGTCAGTAAATCAAGGTATGTTGTAGATGTGACAGTGTTTAGAAGGGTTTATTAATGTGATCCAGGTAAGTTTGAGAGGTGACATGCAGTGATTAAGAATGGGGTTATTAAATTAATCCAGGTATGTTTTGTTCTGTGTAGGAATTCCGATAAAATTTCCTTGAAAAGTCCTTGGAAAAAATTTCAGTCCTGTATGAACCGTTGCAGCGTTGTGGCGCAAGAATGAGGTCACGAAGAGCGCCGGTAGGTGTTTCCTGATTCTGACAGCCATTTACATTACGGGGCAAGGTTCGCGAACGCAATAATTTTGTCAGTTGTGTGATTTCGTGTGACACAGCTCGGTTACGAACAGAGACAGTATGTTTTCATAACAAGTAAACACTGTTCTTGACATGGAAACAAAGATGGCAGCTGTTGGATGTGTATTCGTGCTGTGAAAGTGTGAAATCCAGCGAGCGTCGAGCGAATTTTGCGATCCCGCTTTCCTACCTGCTATATATATTAGTGTAAGCGTGCAACAGTGGAGCCGCGAGAGCAATGGCGCTGGCCGCGTATATGATTGCACGTAGGATTTGGACGGAATTTACAGGAAACTGTCGGCAATAATAGGTGAAAGAGAGTATCTATAGAAACATTAAGAATTTGATAGTAAATAGATTTCGTATTTAGTTAGCATTATATTTTATTGAAACGCTTCAAGTGCCTGTGCTGCGGATTGCAAAAGCTTCAAATTTGCAATTAACCGAAGAAGAAGGAAAAGAATTCTGACTAACCCTCGAGTAGCAGAAATTCTTCGATTTGTAACCTATAAATTGTGCCAACTAAATTCTATTTGAGATGTAAAACAAATATGCACCTCTGTGCAAACATTTAAAATTGGTTGTTCTGAAGTTACACATGGTTTTACTGTCACTAAATGTCAGGCACCTCCCCCTCAGTTACTCTCACGTGCTGCATGCGCAGGATTTGTTCTGAGGGAAAATTAGACAAAGGAGGTAATGGCCAGTTTGGGGAAAAAAACGTGAATGATGGATTCAAATGCGTGCCCTAGGTACGCATGTGAACGCTGCAGGCGGACGCGGGGCAGCGAGGGAGAGGGGGAACACCCCCTCTCTCTGGAGGTGTTAGGGGGGGGGGTCTCCCCTAACAAATTTAAAAAATTTGAATATCTTATTACATTTTCACAATGGCGATGTTAAATTTGACAACGGCGGTGCGCCACTGTGCCTCTTATGTATAAGAAACCCTGCTGCGTCAGTATTCGCAATGTAAACTTTACTGGAAAGTTGAAATCTATTTGTTTTAAACTTACACGGCATGTATGGGGCAGATATAGCTCTACCAGTATTGGATCCTTTGCTCTCACTACAGGTAGCAGTGCCTGTACGGGTTAGTACTGGTAGTGTACCGCTACATAGGTACGGTTCCTGTACTGTAGCAGAAAAGAAGAGGCTGCATCAGGTAGGGCTAGGGCACCAGGGGCCCGTTGTCAGAAACAAAATTAGTCTTAACATTAGTCTTAACATTAACTTTTTCTCTTAGACCGTTGACAGAAACGCTGCGAAGTTACGAGAACGAAAAATCGTAGCAGATTTCCTTATAACAATACGAAACAAAGTGATGTCGACAGTCTAGGGGAAATTGTTAATGTTAAGACTACTAATTTTGTTTCTGACAACGGGCCCCAGGGTGTTGTGGCTAGTGCATGCAATACATTTCCTCACACGATGTCACATAATGTCACACATACATAATGTTTGATTCAACTTCAAGCCTGTTGAATGTGTAGTTATATTCTTTCTTATTCTGCAGGCCCATCAGAAAGAGAGGAAAGCAGAACATTTAGTTGCACAGGGAAAGCTTGTTGATGCTGTTAGTTGCTATCGTCAAGCAGCAGGTATGTATAGTAAAATGAAGAAGATAATAAGTGATATTATTATTATTATTATTATATATTATTAGTTTTTATCTTAAGATGTTAAACTTATAATCTTTATTTATCCTAGGTAATCTTTCTCTTGGTGGTAGCATTGAACTGCAAATATTATTTTCCAATTTTATGTTTGAGTTCACAATTTACTATTTATTGTTTGTGAGGTAATGTATGATCACCGGTCTAGCAAATTAATGTTTTAGAGGTATATTCTATGCTGCGTAAAAATTCATGCAACCGCTTCATTTGTACAGAATGTGACAACACGGACCCATGCTTTTTTGCTACAGAGTATTTAACAAAGAGTATGCAGCAGACCGACGATCCCATTGCTCTGCAGTCGTTAAGGCTCCAGCACGACAATTACCTGCATCAAGGACAGTTGCTAAATAACAAGGCAGCTATGCAGAACGATGGACATAGCCAGGACACATCCAGCAAGGACAGTGGCCCCTATTCGATTCCAGAAGTCCTTCACGCGCTCACCAGCTTACAAGAGAACGACACACTCCTAGCCTTCTTGGAACGAAGATGTTCGGAAGATTCTGAGCAGCTGGATGACGGTAAGAGCGGTAAGTCGCAGGACGAAATCGTGCGGTCGGCGATAAAGACGCCGAAGACCGATCCCACGGTCATCGAAGAGTTGAAGACGAATAACGAAGCGTTGAAGAAGTTTATCGACGAACTGGCGAAACAGCTGGAGAAGAGCGAGCAGGAAAAGAGCAACCTCAGAATGCAGTTAGAGGATGTGGAGAGCAGCAACCGAACTCTGTCGCTCATGGTAAAGGAAATGGGTGCACATATTAAGAGGTTGGAGAAGACGACACTGAAGTCGCTGTGCAACTCGAATGGCAGCAGTCTAGGCAGTAGTGATTCAAAAGCGAGAGCAGAGATAGCCGAGTCTGCTAACTCTCTGGTCGACGTTGGGCTGCCACAACTTGCTCCCCTCGAAATGCCACAGTTTGATTTTAACGTTATAGACAGTCACTCTAATAAGTAAGTATTACTTTAGTAATAACTTATTGCTCTCATAAGGAAATCGACATGGGGCAACCGTGATATTCCAGTTCTATTATTTGGACATCACTAGTAAATTTAAAATGTAAAAACATGTTTAAATATTGTGTATTTTAACAATTTCCCCTATAAAAGTGATGATGTAAATGCGGTAATAATGTTTAGAATACCTTTGTGTTGCATGTTATTCTTAGTAGCAGTCATACTTGGTTCTGCCAAATATTTATTTTCTAATACTGTATACGCTGTATATTTCGCGGTGGTTCAATTTTCACGAATTTCGCGAACGCGTCCCCGACCGCGAAAATAACAACATGCGAATATGCTTTCATGCGGCTTAGCCCTTGAAGTGGCATCGAAATTTTACGTACCGGTACTGTAAACCCGACCAGGCAGGCGCCGCCCAGCGCAGCGCTTCTGTTTACATGTATTGCTAAGTAACTTTGTAAATACTAATAGACGACTCGCTGTGCTGCATGATTACTTATTACTAGTGTGTTACGGCCCGCCTCAGCTAGCTATGCGCATGCTGCGCCTTTGTCATCGTCTCCCCAGCTTTACGTGTACGTGTATGTACGGTATGTACGTAGATCTTATGTACCTATCTGATCGGACCTAGGTACATAGTTTGACTCTCTGTTTTCTCTTCCGTTTTTTGTATGATTTACGAAGAAGAATGTATAGGTACGTTAAGCCAGTTAAGGAACAACATCCGTTGTTACCTAAAGTACCGGTAAATGCCGACCGTGGACTGGAGCCGGCAAGTGTAAGGGCAGCTAATGAAGAGGTCATTGCAGCAGGATTACCTAACGTTAGTGGCGATGGAGCTGATCATGGGACTGTTGGCAATGTTGGGAAAAAGCGCCGTGTCATGTATAATGCCTACTCTCCAGAACTTCGCGCTAAGATAGGACGGTATGCAGCCCGAAACGGAACTGCAGCGGCATGTAGGAAGTTCTCCCTGGAGATTGGTGCGCCTGTAAATGAAAGCACCGTGCGTGGCATGCGATCGGCTTACTTAACAAAAATCGAGGAAAATTCACAACAGGAGGTTGATCGGCTTCCACTACACGAGCGTGGGCGGCCTCCATTGTTGGGAAAATATGATGATGATGTGAAGGCTTACATTCGGGGAATCCGTCAGGCTGGAGGAGCCGTATCGCCTAAAGTTGTATTAGCGGGCACGAAGGGTCTGCTAAAGAACACAAAGCCCCCCATCTTAGCAGAATACGGAGGTAACATTCACCTCGACAAGACGTGGGCGAGATCTTTCTTGGATCGGATGGGTTACAGTAAACGGAAAGGCACCAAAGGTGTCAAGACAAGGCCCGAGGACTTTGAACTTGTCGGTGGGAGGTTTTGGCGAAGGATTGGTCATCGTGTGCGAAAGTATGACATTCCGGATGAACTCATATTGAACTGGGACCAGACAGGTGTTAATGTCGTTCCTGGAGGTCAGTGGACCATGGAGCTTAAAGGTGAATGGCAGGTGCCCTTACAAGGCATTGACGACAAGCGGCAATACACGGTGCTTCTTGCCTGTTCACTTGCCGGAGACTTTTTGCCCCCGCAGGTGATCTATCCAGGCAAAACGCAACAGTGTCACCCTGCGGTAGAGTTCCCCCCGGAATGGGATGTGTGGCACACTGAGTCACATCGGTCCACTACCGATTCAATGATTCGTTACATTGATAACGTCATTGAGCCGTATGTTAAGAGCACCCAAGAGCGTCTTCAGACAACATCGCCACCGCTACTGATTTGCGATGTTTCTCGTGCTCACACATGTGAGGAGGTGCGGGCACGTATTGCTGAGATGGGAGCGCTGCTTGTCTATGTGCCTGCTGCCTGTACTGACTTGTTGCAACCACTCGACGCAACTGTCAATAACCGCTACAAACAGGAGCTCAATGCTCAGTTCAACGAATGGTATGCGGAAAAGGTCGCACAAGGCATCTGGGAAGGCAGAGAAATCGCAGACATCGCGAAGGGTATCGACTTGAGAACAGCAGCCATAAAGCCAATCCATGCTAACTGGCTTATGAGAGTCCACGATGTCCTTCGTCGCGATCGGGAGATCGTAATCAAGGGATGGGAGTCGACCAAAATCTTAGACGCCGTCAGAGAAAGCAGAAATGCGCCAGTTCCTGACTTGGACGATTCTGACGCAGAAGGGGTGTAAGAGTTCACCTATCAACAGCATTGTAAATATGTCCATCATTCATTGTTGTCGTTGCTGTTGCTGTCAGAATTGCATTCTACTTTTTAAACAAATGCGTCAAGACTATTGGATGTGTTTAGAACGATTTTGTTTGTCTAGCTTCTCTAAATAACATCTGACCATGTGTATGAAGGACAGAGGAAAAACCCATTACATAATGACTGGTACTAGAGTCTATAGTGTAAACTGTGAACAATGGATGAAGCCTTGGTCTTATCAAAGTAAGGAGGCGGTCTAGATCTACATGCTGATTACTTACATCATTACACTGAGAAACTTTGGATCAGATGCAATGTGCTGTAACCTGTATCAGCTCATGTAAGTACGAAATGTCATTAATTATTTTCTACATGTAATATATTCTTTAAATATGTTGTAATGTTTTTGTCAATAGATGACGCAAGTTGCGTCTTGAGAGCCGACGTAAAGGCCCCCGCACACGGTGCGGTCTGGCGTGCGCCGTTGGCACGCGTGCGCAAAATATCTATATCGTGTTAGATTTTTCTGGCTCAGCTCCGTTGGCGCGCGCCGAATGGGCACCGTGTGCGTGGGCCTTAACACGCAGCACATGTTGCTTATGTCCTGCACTGCAGTAATCAATGGGGTACAATAGCGTAGCATGTTGTAGTTGCAGCAGTGTGTCAGCGAAGGGAAAGCGCCATTGCCAGTGCGGATACAAACTCGAACGATTTCAGTTGTGTGGACGCTGTGCTTGCCAAAGAATTAAATCACAAATAATGAAGAAAAAGTCATGCTAATGGTGTTGTAATTGTATAAATATCACATCTAAAAGTTGAGTCTCTAGAAGCCATACATCGAATGTAAGGCGTCGTTGTTCTTCATCGATTCGGGAATTCACCAACCGCGAAATTAACCACTCGCGAAATTGTCCGTCAAGTGTGAATTCGCGAAAATATCTGTACGCGAAAAATATGGCGTATACAGTAGTCGGCCAGTTGCATAGCATGTCCAGTTCATCCTAGCATCAACTGCATTAGTAAGAAATAATCATGGGGAAAATGGAAAGAAATATGAACTTTCAAACATTTTTAAAGTGTGTTGCCATTTGGTACACATTTGAAATGATTTATCATCAGAAAGACACACCCATAAAGACATGCACACTCATGTCAATTGCACAAGAATTGACCCCCTTGCAGTCCACCAGCAACCAAAGCCACGTCGAGTTTGTGTCACTGGCAGTTGACTGTGGACAGTTTGCTATTGTAATTCACCATGTAATATTATCTACATTGGTTTTGGGTGTGGGGGCAAGTGCTCCCCTTGTCCCACCAATAGCTATGACCATAGCAAAATGTAGGTACATGTAATTCAGTGGATTGTCAAAACGACTGCTGGTAGCATTGCATTGAACAACGTGTGACACTGAAGTAAATAGACATCGATATTTTCTAGTGGCCACTGGCATTGGCATAAGTTACATGTAACACACTGACAGTACAGAATGCCATAGAAATTATACGATTTAAGGAGCATAAACCTTCTTCAACCAAATTTAGCTTTTGAAATTTCACTGTGACATTGTAGCCTCATACATCCAGGCATGTATAGATTCTACTATCAAACCCGGCAGTCAAATTCTTTCTAACAGTAAACAAATCCATGTTTAACCCTCCTCTTGAGGGTCAAAAGGTTATCAGACACTTACTCTTCGCATATCAGCGGAAAGTATATTTCATGGTCCTTTCAATAAAGCCATAAAAATGGTAGGTCACCGCTGAAACAAAAAAGTTTTTCAATCGCTCCGTCAGACCATGTCCTCAGAAAATGTCTAAAATCTGCCCTGCGCCCATTGACCTTTGACCTGTGACCTCCAATTTTGGCACACTGATGGCTTTTCCTACCATGATGCTATACACCGACTATCACGAGCCTAGGTCAAGCCGTTTAGATTTGTGCTGCAATTCTGCATTTCCTCTCTATACCTTAAGTGAAGGAGGGAATGTTGAATGTTCCCTCTTCTTTTACACCTCTTGACCTTTGACCCCCCAGCTTCGACATCCCAACTCGTTTTCGGATTCCCCCCCCCCACCCCACCCCACGTCCCGAATATCGTGACCGTACGTCGAGCCGTTTAGATTTGTGCCCAACTGTTGACGCACGGACGCACGCACGGACGCACGCACACACGGACGATCATGCGATTCTACAAGCTGCATCTGATTAGATGTCAGATGAGCTAAAAACCGGTTAAATCACACAATCCAGTTTTTCTGTAGGAAGAATAAGTATACATTCATGGACTACTTGAGATTCTCTCACAGACTCAAGGTGCATCTATCCACCTAACTGGCGCACACTCTTGGTAAAAAAAACCTGTAGGATATATCGAACTTCCTTTCCACTGCACCAGGAAAACTACGTTAGGAAACTATGTTAGGAAGCAGATGAAGTTAATAAGGTGAATAACCTTGGCCATGCAAAAAAGTTCTAGCTCTATATATATTCAATTTCCAAGATAAATATAATAACTTATAAGCAAAGGCGCATAAATTTGTTCACAAGCTTCCACATTCAAATGCAGTTGTTGTGCTCTTGTTATCTTATTACAGCTGATAGGGTCTAAGTCCCCCAGGGTACTGCCGGAACGTACCCTGGGTACGGTCCGGTATACCGGAACGTACCCTGGTAACTATCTAGCTGATATGGTTAGGGTTAGGGAGTAGGCGTAGGCGACTCCCTAGACTCGTTAGTGGAGTAGTCGAGGTATGGTCCGGCATATTAGATAGTTGTATTTAGTACCAGGGTACGTTCCGGCAGTACCCTGGGGGACATAGACCCTATCAGCATTATTACAGCTGCTAGGGTCTATGTCTCCCTGGGTACTGCCGGAACGTACCCTGGTATACCGGAACGTACCCTGGTACTATCTAATATGCCGGACCGTACTTCGCCTACTCCACTAACGAGTCTAGGGAGTCGTCTACACCTACTCCCTAACCCTAACCATATCAGATAGTTACCAAGGTACGTTCCGGCAGTACCCAGGGAGAAATATACCTTATCTGCGTTATTATATTACTCCCAGTTTCATCAATAATAAAGGCCAAGTTATTGGATCTCTGATCACTGGCAGAGTCTACCACCGCAAGAGCTTAAGGGTGTGTGCATGAGCGTGAGAGGGAGGGGAGAGGGAGAGAGCAAGTAAGAGATGTAATGACTGTACAGGTATATGGGATATTGTCCATTTAGTTATATTAACGGAGAGAGAGAACTCTGACAGTTATCGTTATACTGTATTGACATTAGTTCCCTTTCATTTGTTTCAGCGTGTCGCTTACATTTTCTAGTGACATAAAACTTCATTCAGGAAACGAGTTCTTCTTTAATGAAGTGCGTTTTTTTCAGCCACACACGTTGAATTAAGTATGCAGCCACCTTATGGAAAAGTGGCGCCAGCTGGTACCAAACTTCATTATGCACTGCTGCTGCTGCTGCTGCTGCTGTAATCTCTACTTCGTTATTTTCTGCATCACCGACTTTTGTTATTACTACTACTACTGCTGCTGCCAGTGCCACTACTAATGTACTATAAGTCTATATCCCGAATATGAAGACGACAGCAAAGATTACTCTAATGCGCAGTTGAGAATGTAGGATATGTGTGTGCAGTAGAGTTTCTAAATTTGTGCTTTCAACAATTTAAAAGAAGAAACAATTTCCTATCATTGCATGAATCTTCTCTATATGAACTCAGGACTCATAAATTATATCTGCTCCGGAAACTAACTTTGCTATAATAAAAGTGCAGGAAATGTTGTTTGAGTATGAGCCTGTTTCGCGTCGTCGCATAACAGGAAGATCACATTACACTGTGTGCATATATTGGCCCCAGTATCTTCTGGGGGACTCCACAGTCCCTCCTCACAGGGCTGTGTATAGTCTTTTGCTTAGAACGGAAATTTCCTTAGAACAAGTACTGGACCGTTGATGCTGCTGCTGCTGCGAATTTCCAACCTATTCCTGCGAAATATCTTGAAAGCAGCACTAAACTCACTTCCATTTGCCCTTCGTTTTCAAAATCGACGCCAGGTAAACTGAAAATCTCAATTTAGCCAAACCATAGATATAGAATTGAAGATCTGTATTCTATATCTATGGCCAAACCTAACCATGTTTAATGACATCCACACAGTAAACTATCCAGACACTAGTAACGCAAAATATAATGAATACTATAGGACAGAGGAAGCCAAAATTATAATTGCACGATGCTCGCAGCTTGATTTGCCATTTCCACCAGCCGGTATTTTACCGATTTTGAAATTATTTCGCCCCAAGTTGCTTACATGCCATATATTAATACTGTAGACGAAATTGTTTAGATGTATGCTAATTGCTATGGTGATTCGCACACAGACAAATGGAAATATTATGACATTCACGTGATCCTGTCAGATAAGCTCATATAGAGTTTCAGAGAACAGTAGCGCCTAATAATGGATAGTGCTAATTGATAACATAGACGAAGCCACTTGTAAGATTCTTGAAAGATATATTCTCATGTGACGGTGGCTCTTTCGTAAAGCTGAATCCGCTAAGCAACGATACGGCTCGGATGTAGAACGGAACCTCAAATTGCACACTCCTACATCAAAATTTGATGTTTACTGTAACAGACTATCATTTATGCATTATTTTCACAGTTCACAACTACGTACAAAATGTAGAATTTGTTAAAAGATAGAACACTGTACGAGCTAAACCTACTTGAGAACTTCACATAGCTTTTTAATGTTATTGATGACGTTTGTCTATTAAAAAACCTACCAGTTCACATTTTAAAATCTATGCTCAAGATAATAAAAATAATAATTTTAAACGAAGCAATACAAAAATCTCCCAATTTTGTTCAATGATCATGGAGTATAGAGCATATCATTAGAATCTAAAATGATTTTGCAAGTAAACAAATAATCTAGAAAAAAGTTCAGTAAGGTTATATTTTGAAGAAATAAAAATTTAGAATTTTCAAATGAGCCATTCATATTATATTGTTCTTATATTTTTGTCATAACTATATGTTTATACATAATCACAGCAACATTTCAAAAATTAAATTTTTTCACTACTATAGACCAATGTAAATGCACTGCCTCTTCCTCTTCCTTTTACAGAAACGCTATCTCTTTAATAACAACAAGGATTAGATTAAATCCTAGTAACGCCCATTACTGTTGGCCTACGCCAATAACATTACAGGTGACTACCACGACAAATACCAGTTCCAACTGGAAATCACAAATTATTCAAATGTAATGTAACACTACATATAATAGCTATACAATGTTCATATGTTGCCTGCCCTCATAAAATTTGCCTATCTTGATATACATCTGCTAAATAAGTGTCAAAACCCTCACTCTCTATTTTTTTAAAGCTTAGACTTGGCTTGGGCTTTTTTAATTGAATTTTTTGACCTACTTTTTCAAATCTCTAACCGAACGAGGTGATTGAGGCTTGTTGCTAAGCGACAGGCAGACCATTTACGATTTTAGACCTATTAGCATCTTGCACTTCAACGAACAATTGCTCCTAGACATACTCCCTGAACACTATTGCATTCATCAGATTTTTTCTCCATGAAAAAGACTGTCCTCAGTACATGCATGTACTTGTATTTGAATTACATGCAATAAAGATTTAATAATAATAATATACCTATGAGAACGTGTGACAATATGCTACCAAGATCACATAAACCATCGCATATATATCAACTAAACAGTTCATGTGCTCTTGATACTATTCAATATTTCCCCGAAAACATGATAGATCACAGATGACTGGCTTCATCAATCTGATACCTTTATACATTTATACACACATCAGTGCCAAAAATAATCGAAAATCTGTTCGTCCAAGACGACCTGTATTTTTTCGAGCAACAATCATTTTAGATCCGGTTAGCAAAAAAAAAACCCGGTTTCAAATCAGTATTCACTGCATTGTTTCCCCTACTATGATCATGAAACTTAACACAAGCACTTTGCAAGACTTAACACAGCAGCACAGAGGCGCATCTATTTTAAAAGCTAGCTAACGAGTCTTACGTGCTCTTTGGTTTCGACTTGTATGCGGGCCAACGACAGACCGGACAGCAGTGGTTATCGCGCGACAGCCACGCGAAGATGCACTGCTGGTGAAAGCCGTGGCCGCACGGTAGAGCGCACAGCACGCACGCGCGCACATACGGCTCCAAGCAGATGGCGCATTCTACAGAGGCGAGCACGCCGGCCGGGGCAGCGTCGTCGGGGCCGGAATCGCTCCACCCACAGTTGCAATCGCCTTTCGCATCCGACCGCAAATCCCCGGCCGCCATCTTGGATTCGCTGTCGCTGTTCTCTGTCGAACTATCCCCGCAGTCAGTGCCAGCGTCCCCCGCTGTATCAGACCCCGTAGTGCAGAGATTTCTGTCTCGATTTCGTTCTGACCCATTTACCTGTGAATGACCGCTACATTCCGTATTTGGGGCCTCACTAGCAGATAGGCTAGCCATTTGACTGGTCAGAATACGATTATCCATGCCGCTTGGGGAAATAGGTAACTCCCCTGCACAGCCTACCTCAGCAACAGGCCTAGCAATTCCAACTTGCTGAGAATTTTCTGTTGGCTGGCACCATTTGAAAATACTGAACCTTTGCAACACGTACTTTGATAAATTTGGCAAGATACCCTTAATGAGAGCCTCCTTAAACGTTCCCAAGCAAGCCACCGTATTGGAGATGGGACTCCACTCGATTCTTTCATTCTGTACTGTGCAGTGAACTGGACACTTGCTCTCGCGACCGGATTGCCTATAAGACCAGCAGGGCAAACAACGGATGTAATCCTGCGGTACTATCGGCTGCAGCCAGAAGGTTGGATTCGCCAGTCGCTCTATCATGAGAGCGATGCCCTCCTCTAGATCGATATCGGTCCTCATTGGCCGACTAACCGACGAGGACACGGGCCTGAACAGATACGGTACATCCGGGAAAGTCCAGTTCCACTCTTGTTCCTCGACGGTGCTGCCATGCCCCATCGCGCTGTTTACGATGAACCCGACCAGCCCAACGGCCACGAAGCACGCAGCGGCAAGCAGCGGGTGCGTTGCGTAGAAATACGTGGTCCCACGAAGAAAGCACGCGAGTTCGGACGAGCTAAGCAGCTGTAGAAACCTCAGAGCCGAATAGCACACGCTCTCCATCCTAGGCAGCTGGAACACTGCCAGCAGAGGCAGCCAGAGGAAAATCAACATGATGTTGTATTTCCCAAGTTTCCAGAGCGAGCTCACGAGATGCGTGATCACCTTTCCTCGTAGGAGAAACGCCTCTAAGACAGCGAGGGTGTTAACGAGCACCACACTGCACAAGAATAGGCCGTTCACCTCGGGGTAAAAGGTAGTGAGGTACAGATACATGCTGTCGTAGCTCAGAAACTCGCTCGGGCGACTGCCGTAGCGCAGGATTCTGTCGTGCATCACGACCAAGTACGCGGGCAGTTTAACGGCTCCGACAACGCCCAAGTTATCCGGGAGTCGCTGACCAACTGCCGGCGTGAAAGCACCGAACCTCACGCGACCGGGAAACTTCACGCTGAGCGCCGATAGAAATATTGGCGGCTGTTGCAGATGCGAGATTAGAATCACTTGAAGTTGATAACCCTTCTCTTGCAGCCAGTCCCTTTCCAGTTCCTCCAGAGAAGATATAGTTGAAACCCGAGAAGAAAGATGACTGCTTATCCAGGTGAAGATCGTATCTGGATTGCTTGTCCTGTAAATTGAAAGAACGTTATGGATGAACTACACACGTTAGATATGCAGTAAACTAACTGTAGCTAATATAGCTGTCACTATACACTTATAAAAAATTTCACTAACAAGTAAAAAGCACCTGCTGTATTACAATATTATTTCCTTAATGTTAAATAATATTAAATGTTAACTTCAAGATAAATGGATATAAATAAGAGATAAATAGATAAATAGAACCACCAGGTGGCAGTAGGTGACAGTTCCTGAAACTACTCGGCTCAGTAAATAATCAGTCAAATACGACAAAGACATCAGATGACCTGTCGAAATCGCACCGGTAAAATTTTTGCATTCACCTCAAAATTAAATCACGTTATATGACAGAATGAAATCTGATGACATCATTCCAAGCTCATTTTCCTAAGTTTTTCAAAACTGAAAGAACTGACGCATCGATACTTGCCTAGAGTAACTGTGCAGTGTGACGTTGGTTTTCACCTGGTCGCCATGGGGATTTGCAAGCACCAGTCGAGAATTGAACCATCCTTTATTGTCACATAACCTTTAAAAAAGCAAAACATGCATTTCTAGCATTTTGCTCATGGTTTCCACTACTACAAGTCAAGGGGATTAACTATTGAAATTGCCTCGATACACTGGCAATTATTCTAGAAGTACTTCTGATACCAGAGATTGGAAAATTTGTAATATTACAGTAATCTCTCTGTATTACGCCAATATACGCACAAAATTAGCAGCCTGCTATCATTAAGATAAGAACACATCGGACGCACATTATGTCATGATCGCAAAGAAAGGTTCCGGTACGAATTCCAAACTTGGAGAGTTTCTGTTCCAGCAGGGCCCAATCCGAGTTCCTCACTAACGGAGGCAAGGATTCTCCTACCACCTGCACAACCCACATGCTATCTTTTGTATCCTCAACCTATGAACAAATTCACCATGTTATAGTACTGAATCATACACAATTACAAATAAATGAATGCATACGTGTCAATAGCAGTTTGTACTCAATCAGCAATCAAAAAGCACATTTTATATTAAAAGTAACTTTTAATGTCTTTTCTTTTATATTACATTATAAAATTACTGTACCAAACATTTGTTTTTGGATTTTATTAATAAGATTTCACAGCAAACACGAAACAGATCTATCTTTCTTTTAATTGCTCTAAAAGGCAATCTGCATTATTGAATTTTCCCTTGTTCAATCATCTAAGAAATCTTCTTATTCAGCAAGTGTTGTAGAATACATTCTGTGTTAATACTTGATAGTACTTCGTGTCAAACCCTTACAACATGAGTTTACCCAATCTTACCTAACTCTTACCTAGTCACCCATTATTCACCATGGCACATGAAAATATCTTATTCACCTCTTCGTAGAAGTGTGATCCACAAGTGAAGCTAGTGCTAGGAGTCGATGTATCACTAGATGGCGCCACTTCATACTCTGCTCTCTGTGCCACTTCTCCTTCCATGATATCCCCTAGGCACATATATTATCAGTTAATATAAAATAATCACAATTTAATACTTTTTTTTTCCATACAGTCCAGTACATATCACTATTAAAATTACTGACACATCAGATTTCTATTAACTCACTGAATAACATTTTTCTAACTTAATGCATGCTCTGGAATTGCACTCGGCCTTTAGTTGGACAAATAACCTATTGGCCATGAAAGCTACATCTACCCTCGCATCACAACAATACAGATTTACCTGCAAGGATAGTGATACCGTTTAGCTACCATGCTATCAACTGTAGGGCAGTAGGTCAACTCTTTGTTAGGGTGAAAATTACACGTGCGTAGCATATACCAAGTCACAAACACAGCGTGCAAAAGCACACTTGATCACACATGACACACGATAAATTCCATCAAACTTTAACTGTTCGACAACATTGATCACCTCTTATTTAACATTTCACTAAAATGAAGATGAAATCCATCATAGAAATTACTTTATACATACATGTGTATATTACAGATCAAGGAAATAAAGGAAAATCCATAAAACTGGAGTAACCCATAGGGTTTTGAAAGCATCACTCAATGTGATTCACTGAGAGACAATAACCTACTGATACACTAAAAACCCATGTATAAGTACCTGCACTTTTTCTAAGTTAGCCTAAAAAGGTTATATAATTGGTGTTTACTGAAAAATTGGCCTATTAAGGTTCTTAAATAGGTTCTTATTTTCTTAAGAAAAAAAGGTGCCTGTTGCTGGTATAGAATATTGATGCGGTCTAATGTTTATATAAAATATACATATAATTATGTCTAAATGACTCCAATCTAGACAAATACGATAACCTATTCTAGGTTATCGTATTTCTCTTTATGCCCTTTATACCTAATACACATCAACAATACACAACTAAATTGGTTTAAAACACCACAAACATAATGCCTGGCCAGGTTCCTCAGTCATAAGGTATGGCACCAAGCTAAATTTGATAATGTATGCAGTGAAACTGCATTGTAGTGCATTTGACTATACTGTATTTTATCAAATAAGAACCTGTTTCAAATTTTAGGCTAAAACAGGTTCTTATGTCAAGGAGGTTTAAAGCCGCACTATGCGCATCCAAACACTAATTTCTCCAGTACTAGACTAGCAAATACTTCGTGTCATGCATAATCACACTACCTTATGACAAAATAAACTCTAGTTCCTTCCATTTCACTGCACGTTGTCTTATAAAAGGTATTTGAAAATACCTCCAATGTTGTTCAAATTCTCCGATGTTGTTAACACCTTCGCGTTGCTCTGCCAAGCAACCGTGGAGCGGTGCTGCGGTACAGAGGTACGGGTGTAGCAAAGATAAAAACATGTGACGCCACCTAACCGATTCTTGGCGAATTGTTTGACAAACAATTTAGCGTTGGCACCAGATTACCAGATTTCGCACCTCTTTCTTGTGGGTTTTAAGCAAACGCGCACTGAAATGGGAGGAACTAGAGTTTATTTTGCCATAAGGTAGTGTGATTATGCATGACACGAAGTATTTGCTAGTCTAGTACTGGAGAAATTAGCGTTTGGATGCGCATAGTGCGGCTTTAAATGGAAAATCTTAGCCTAACAGGTTCTTAATCACTAGGTTCTTATACGCGGGATTTTTATTGATATTATTAAAAATTAACATGGATATAGGCAAAATGTACAAACCAGATGCCTGGACAAGGTCGTAAAGCTCGTGTTTTTCCAGGACACCCTTGTAACTTATCCCTCGCTGTTCCAGCAAGATCTTCAGCTTCTTTACACTGAGTGCGAAGGGATCTAAGAACTGTCCTGCCAGAATATCTGTCAATAAATTATCGAAAAATAATTAGCCACTCAACCTTGTTCGATCATGTTACAGCATAAACCGCAGACAATATAAACCACAATGTAGTTCATGCATAGGTACTGACTATTTCATCTCTGAATTACAGTTAAATGCATTAGTAATGGTTGGTACTATAGCTCTACTACTATAGCCCTTCGCTCCGCCGCAGGCTGGAGGCTCTGCTAGAGGCTCTGCGGCAGAGCGAAGGGCTATAGTACTAGAGCTAGGTTGGTAGGCCCTACCTGCGCCAAGCCATGATGTGAACTGCAGGAGTCGTGCCAAAAAGGCAAGCAAAAGTAGATAAACCAACAGCAGACACACTTTCAACCACATGGCAATGAAGTGTTGTGTATTAGCTGATCTTTCCAACCATATGCTTTATTCTGTCAAGCTCTGCTTTGCCCATGCCAATTGTACTTGAGGTGTGATCATCCTCCCCCTGTAAAAAATACAAGCAGCAAGTGTAAACAAATCAGTAGCCTACAATGTGAAATCATAACAAAGTTAAAGTATGGAATGGTATGAGCTCCGATTCAAGGAGTCAACCATTTGTCCAACACTACAGAAATCAGAATGTGGACAACGATATGCGAAATAATTTCTTTGTGTCTTGTATTGTCCTCCCTGGCCTTGGAATAGGCATAATTACACGCACATGTCCCAGTCCTTAGAAACTTTTAAGAAAGGAGTAAGTATACACCGCCTGTACCCTGATTCCTGAACTTTCTGAAGTAAATAGTTACAGTGTACTAGTACTACAATATTATGTTTTCCATAGAGCCGCAACGAGTACAAAGAGTATACCTTTTCAACAAAATAAAGTCCTGTTTATTGTGAGAAGACAACGAGAGCTGTTTTGGATGTTACGCTGGCTGACTGTTACCTAAAACGGACCAAAACAAACCAGAAACAGGTTCTATCGCCACTAGGCATCCAGCCTTCACTTGTTTAAACGGCCTTGCCCACAAGGGGGCGTGATTTTTAATCATGTCTGCGCCCATAGAAAATTGTATACCACTTCCAGATCTTCAAATATTTAGGCAGCTATCACGCGATCAGCTAGTACTATGCTTAGAATCGGTAATATACTTATGCTGTTTATAATTTCTTATTGAATTATAGACCAAAGGTTATTTAATGGGCGTAGCTAAGTCCGTACTTGTAATCATTGACATTGGTCCGGATTATAAATATAATTATTAATTTTGTTTTGTAAACCGTTTTGTGTTTCTCGTGACGGGTGGCTATCCAAGCTCAATAATATTAGTAATAGGAACAATTTAGAAAAAAATCACCCGCTATCTAATGTTGTTATCATCCGCAATGCTGCCCACGGGCACTTGGGCCGTTTGCGTTTCAATGATAAAGTAATGATAAGACATAATATTAATAAGATAAGTAAACACAAATTCAAATGTATATGATTATTCTAGTTTCTACCAAAAATTCCAAATCTTGTTTATCAATTTGCGTACTCTCTATCACCTAGTGATTACACGTAAATGTCTTTCAAATGCTCCTAGCTCTGCAACACAAAATCTCACTGCCAGTGGCGTAGACAGGTCCTCAGTTGTGGGGGGGGGCATCACAGGAACTTGGAACGTCTCAATAAAAAATAAAAATGTAAACACGAAATATATTTACTACCAAAGTCTTAATGTTTCTCTACTCTATTTCGCCTATAATCACCTGTAAATGCCGGTCAAATGCTCATCTGCAACACACAAGAACACCGCACGCCCGCGCTGTGCACAAACAACATGAATAAGAGAGCAGGTAGGAAAGCTTGATCGCTAAATTCGCTCAACGCTTGCTTCATTTCACACTTTCACAGCACGAATACACATCCAACAGCTTCCATCTTGGTATCTATGTGTACATAAATGTTCACTTGTTCGAATTATAACTGGCCTTTGTTCTTACCTACTCCCGCCAGAGATATCTCGTGAAATCCTGCAGGAAATGTTCTCGCCGTGAAAATGTAAAGAGGACGAGATGTCTGTTTATACACGAGTAGCAACTTTTGATCGATCGCTGTAGTCGTGTGGGCGTGACGTCATGCCGCGCGCATTTTGCTTGACTTGGCGGGCCTCGAAACGGAGCTCGGAGGCAGGCAGCAGCTCATCCCAGCATGCAATGTGCCCCATTACTCGTGTATAAACAGACATCTCGTCCTCTTTACATTTTCACGGAGAGAACATTTCCTGCAGGATTTCACGAGATATCTCTGGCGGGAGTAGGTAAGAACAAAGGGCAGATTTATAATTCGAACAAGTGAACATTTATGTACACATCGATACCAAGATGGAAGCTGTTGGATGGGTATTAGTGCTGTGAAAGTGTGAAATGAAGCGAGCGTCAAGCGAATTTAGCGATCAAGCTTTCCTACCTGCTCTCTTATTCATGTTGTTTGTGCACAGCACGGGCGTGCGGTGTTCTTGTGTGTTGCAGATGAGCATTTGACCGGCATTTACAGGTGATTATAGGTGAAAAGAGTAGAGAAACATTAAGACTTTGGTAGTAAATACATTTCGTGTTGACATTTTTTTTTGAGATGTTCCAAGTGCCTGTGGGGGAGATGATTTTGCTGTTACTTCCATCGCAATGTATATGAAGAGTGTGCACGAGTAGCGCACACCGCGAGCGCCTTGGCGCAAAGCTCTGAATGGGTGGGGTCTAGGGGCCTGCCTTAGGGCCACTGGCAGGGTGCAGGGGCAGAGCCCTTGCCCGGGGTTCAGGGGGCGGAGCCCCCGGAAGCTCTTGGATTTTAGCAATTTAGAACCTTCTGGCCTCTTTGAGGGAATTGAAAAAAATTGATATTGTAAGTGCAATTTTGTGAATTCTAGGGTAATTTTTTTCTTTGGATCCCAGCGGTTTAATAACACACAACTCCCCCCCCCCACACACACACACACAACTAGTGGCGGATCCAGAAGAAAATTCTAGGGGGGGGGGGCGAATCATGCGAGCTCAAGGGCACGAAGCGCCCGGGGTGGGGGGGGGGGTTGGAGGGGTGTCCCCCTCCCACTGTGTGGAATTGTTAAAACGTTGAAATCTAAAAGCAATCAATTTTGGACATCTTTATCATAGAATATCAGGATTTTTCCTCCTTCAGGGCGTGTCCCCCTTCTGTTTAGGGGGGGGGGTCCGGGGATTTTGTTGAAAGTAACACCTCTTCGATGCAATTTCCTGCACTATGAGGCAGCACTATTAAACAATCTTCATCACAGTAACATCACTGTTGAGTTGAGTATTTTTACCTTTGGGGACACCAAAGACAAATACTTACTACCAAATTTGTGCTATGTATCTACATGTCCTCACTGGGGTTACCAGTGCATACTTACCTAGGCTAAAATACCTTTGCCCTGAAAATTTTAGGGGGGGGCACCCCGTGCTACTGACCCTCTGTTGACAACTACAGCACTGGAATCATCTCCCCCACCTGAAATTTTGATAAAACATATTTTACTGAGAACGTTAAAATTGCAAAAAATATGAGAAAAACAACCAAATTTGAACCAAAAAGTGCATATTTTCACCCCTTATACAAAATCGGGAATATACTTCTGGTTGGGTCTCAGCACCCCCATCCCCCCCCCAAAAAAAGTAAGATGAAATTGAATTTTCCCATTCAAATTCAATCCCCGTGAAAATTCAATATCTTAGCTCTCAATAGGTCTATTCTAATTTTGAATAAAGCAAGGATTTAACTTTCGTGAGCAGTGATAAAACTTTGGGGATTTTGAAAAAAAAATCGTATATGGGAAATGTGTCCAAAATTAACCGTCCGAGTTTCAGTAAAATAATGTCATTCTTGGAACGAGTTACAGCCATTTTACAGTAGATGTATGTCACGTTCCATTTCTGTAATAATACATTAGGAGAGTATGAATAGTGATGACGGATTTGTAGATAAATATCCAGTATTTATTGTCTGTAAAATATTAAATTTTTCCCCATTTTCTTGCTGATAGTAGGGGGGATGAAAGCCACCCCACCTCAATAAGTGTGGGGGGATATACCCCCATCCACCCGCTATCTACGCCCCTGTCAGATGAACTCAAATTTGACTTTTGATATGCATACAAATATTCATAATCATAATCTTTGTTAGCAGTACTCTACAGGCACCGCGGAACGATTTTTGAAGTGGGGGTGCTCAATTTGTTATGCTCGACAGTGGCCAATACAGGTTTTTGAGGAGGGTGGTAAGAAACAGGCGGGGGTATGCGGATCCTCCCCCAGAAAATTTTGAATCCCCCATTTTCCTTCTGAAAGTAGGGGGGGGGGAATGATTATACACGCCATCCCCCCACGTCAATAAGTGGGGGGGGATGCATCCCCCCATCCCCCCCGCTATCTACGCCCCTGCTCACCGCATTCACACACTGGTACACAAACTCACAGAAAGATAGAGCAGGTGGAAATTTAAAGCAGTGGTTGGAAAGCATGTGCGTCTTTCTCATTATGGATTTCTTCACTGAAACATTCTCGGCCACACAGCCTGAACAAGCATGTGGCAGCAAGCTCAAGACGGAGTTGCCAGCTATGTCCACGAACGAGATTGTGTCCGTTCGCAATGTATATCTACTCTACTTAGTCTACTAGTGGGCACAGGGCATTACTTGAATCTGTGCCGCAGTCTATGTAGATGGGGGTCCAGTTAACTAACAGAGCTCGATCTAATTTCAGTCTCCCTCAGAGGCCTTCACTATCTTATAACCAAAAGTGCCAGATGGACAACAATTCCACAGTTTGAAGAACCTTACAAATTTCCTAAAAGCCCAATGAAATAATTTGTTTATTCCATCTATATCTGCAGATACCTGGACGAAAGGACCTGGTCTTAGAGCCAGGACTTATGCGACTACTTGATCGTATAGCAGGAGCATCACTTCTCAAGCAGCATGGAGTTGATAAAATATTCAAATTTGAAGGAAAACCAATTAGGCATGGAAATGATCAGTAAGCATATTATATTGGACAAAGTGATCGTGTCTTTCATTGCATGAAATGTGTAACCTTAAAAATATCATTATTCATATCTGGAGGTATAGTTATTTTCCATTATTGCTGTTGCATGTACATCTAGCTATTAATATATGTTTGCTTCATAATTAATTGGTTACCATCCCTTTATGAGAAGCACTTCTATATGATGTGATTAAGCTTTGGTGGTATTCATGTATGTAAATCCTTAAAGACTTATACTTCGATAATGTTCAGCATCATTTTATTAACCAAGGTTTGTTTACAAATGTGAAATAATTGCAACTATGGTTTTTTTTTAAATAGCAATGTTTCTTTTAGGTGATGCTGTCACTTATACTGCCTTTATTGCAGATGATAAAAGTCACACTTGCAAATTAAAATTTCCTGTGCTAACAAAGAGGCTAGAGTTTTATATTTTGTGGTCTAATTGTCATAATTTCTATGTAATAGCAATAGATTAATAATTTAACTGAATCCAACTGGAATCTATGAAATTATTCATCATTTATGAGTTCAACTTGCACAACCTCCACAAAAGGCATCACAAAGAATTCGGCCAGCCTCTAATATCAGTCGATTATCAGTAAATTAGTATAACAACTTTTATTTATTTAGCATTTTAGTGGAAACTTTAGTAGTAACTCCAAAACGTACATGATTTTCATTTCAGACGGTTGTATCTAGTCAGACCGGATATAGAGACAGTGAAGCAGATAGCAGAACATATTGCTGCTGACAAAACTGCGGGGAAGGAGAGAGTATATAGAATTATACTCGTACCAAGAAAGGTTATACTTCTTTAGGCTATTTAATATCTCAGTATTTCATCTGAATTCAGACTTTACCCTAAAAGTTTGTATTGATCTAACTCCATGAACCAGAAATCTAATATTTCTGTGATTGTCAAATATGTAAATTGGCAATCTAATTTTGTCACCAGGTGGCGCTATTTGTTCGTTTACTGAGAGTTCTGGTTACAGATGCCCAGTAACAAACTAAGTTATTTTCTTTCAACAATAAAGAACGAACTTTTGTCGGTGCCCTCAGTTACATGGATTAATTTCAAAACCAAAAGTCAAATGAAGGAAAATTCGATTCATGATTTCTAAACTTGCCACCATCTAAACCTCCCTTTTAACTGCCTACCGTATTCAGAGTGATTCATTATTGTTGGGAAGTAATGACCAGAATAAGTGATTGCTGTTTGTAGGAAAGCTAGTAGTGCCTATTTCACATAACGTGAACTTTGAACTTCGTGTAAATATATGGAAATCTATTTGCTGTAGACATTCCTGTGTGAGAACCTTCTGGAACAGGAAGGAGTTCATGGTTACGTCACTTTAGACCAATATTGCCCAAATTTTCTACCACTGGACAGCGACCTTCTCTCTCTTGAGATGCCTGGGTTTTTCAGAAGCTTTTTCTTGGTATATTTGCTAAATAGTTTATGTAAACTGATACCTATACATAAATGTGTAACTTCAGTATGAGTAGTTAGAGAGAGGTTAATTTGCTTACTACATATATTTTAAAAATCGTTTCCAGTAATGCAGATACTATCAGGAGTCTATCAATATTGATAGACTCGTGATACTATACCGGGAACCCCTGCTCAATATGTTATTAGTGGGGTTTGGTTATTACCTAAATAATTAATTAATTAATGCTAATCAATTAATGCTGGCTTAACAATTACGATATTGCACAGCGAGAAAATAAAATGAATACATGGATCTTAAGTTATGTGTATGTTCACATTGTGCTTACATTTGTTATATGAATTTCAGGATGGCGATCAGACTTATGTACATACAGTGGCGGATGCTCTTATAAATTTACAGTCTGTGTTTGGAACCATTCCTAATGTGTATGCAATAGGCAACTGCAGCAAGGTATACTATCACGAGCGTCATTGGAAAGAAACCCTGTTTACGATGAATTTTAATTATCTACTAGAATTCATTTCGGAAATATGTTTTCGTTATTTGTTTATTGATGGAAAATATTTCTTATAATATTAGAATCGTCAGTGGTCCATGCAAATTAAACTTGTGCTGATATCATGCAAAAAAATATTCACTTTACTAGTACTAGTGAAATTGCATTTTGTTAATGCAGTTATATGGAGAAAGCTGTCGCTCGTGAGTGATTGAATTAGTTCACACACTTAGCCAAGTTAGAAAGCGGCTGGCACTCCCCATATCTATCAAGAACTGCACATGCTTAGCTTCAGCAATTTAAGGCTGTAATTGCTTTCAGAGCTCCATTTACGCGCACATGCACTCAATCTCGATGCTTATTTTTTCCTTAATCATAATACACTTTTTTGTAATAAGGTTAGTTGGCATGCATTACCAATTTGGGTGTTGTCTGTAAATATCGCTGAGAGGGTCTATGTCCCCCAGGGTACTGCCGGAACTTACCCTGGGTATGGTCCGGTATACCGGAACGTACCCTGGTACTATCTAATATGCCAGACCGTACCTCGCCTACTCCACTAACGAGTCTAGGGAGTCGCCTACTCCCTAACCCTAACCCTAACCCTAACCATATCAGATAGTTACCAGGGTACGTTCCGGTATACCGGCCGGAACCCCGGGTACGTTCCGGCAGTACCCTGGGGGACATAGACCCTATGAGCGTAAATATCAGGGGTAGAAATTAACTTTTAAACAAGGGAGTCCAACGGACTCCCTACCCTCAAAAAGAGGGAGTCCGCAGCAAAATGAGGGAATCCGCAGTCTGAGGTTCAAAATTAAAGATATTAACAATAACGCATGTGCTAATTTTTAAGATTCATGCAGTTGCATGTCTGCCAAATTTTCTTTGGACATTAGCTGAAAAAATGCAGTAATTCCACGAGGCCGTGCTTCAGAACAAACTATAGTTAGTATGGCAGAATTTTCAGGGAGTCACACAGACTCCTGCATATGTCAAATCAGGGAGTTTGACAGTAAATCAGGGAGTATTTGACTCCGGACTCCCGTTAATTTCGCACCCTGAAATATTATTAGATTAAATTAGACTCTGCTTACCTAATGCTATATTTGACATTTTTTCCAGTTACGTTCTATATTTTTAACGCTGGAGGATATTTTATGATATCTCAGCTTGTTTACTTAAACGCATCCTTGGCTTTTATTAGATAATTCATATTGAAGATTCGCACATGTCGATCAATTTTAAAGAATCAAGTGTTTGCTAATATTAAAAGAAACATGGTGCTCTGCGCTTGCAGATGGTTTATGACATGATGGAAACATTAAGGGAAGATCGCGGTGCCCCAGCGGCGCTCAAGAATGAGATTGGTCATCTTGTGCTTATTGACAGAGGTAACTGACTCATGCACATAACCTGATCAGCCTTCTATTAGTAAATGTTATATCCACATTTATGTTATATACATCTACCATATCTTGTTAGTTACATTATATCCACTTATAGCAGTCGACCAGCACATATAGCAGCAGCTCGGGTATATTTTTTCATAATTAATGTCACATTTATTTGCTGTGACTTGTGTTTTAACCCACTATAAAAAGCTTGTGGTTAGCAGATTAAGCCAATTTGATACCTCATGATTTCGACATGTAGATGGAATTTCAATGATTATTTCGTCAATAATATCAGGAGTAGATAATAGGGAAGGAGTGTGACTTCAATAACCAAGGGAAATTCGTCATTTACTAGCCTTATAATACCTACGATTTACTACGCGTAACTCATCCAACTTGAGCTTAAATCGTACACAGTACATTCACCTAGCATCGTGCGAAATCGTTTCCTCGTATACACCTGCAATCCGGAGATATAGACTAAAACGTACGACACGATTTTTCATTCTGCTGCCAGCAAACTCAATGCGTTTTGCGCCGAAATTTAAACAAAAGGCAGCTACTAACCACAGCTTGCTTTCTCGGCGAGGCGGTGTGGCTCGCAGGGAGATTGGACATCGACGCAACACTCGGCGAGATAACCTTTGACCCGGCATACAGCTACATACCAACATACCGCCATACCGGCATACAGCTGGTATGCCTCCACGCACGCACGCCCACCGCAATCTCCCTGCGAGCCACACCGCCTCTCCGAGAGAGCAAGCTGTGGTTAGTAGCTGCCTTTTGTTTAAATTTCGGCGCAAAACGCATTGAGTTTGCTGGCAGCAGAATGGAAAATCGTGTCGTACGTTTTAGTAGTCTATATCTCCGGATTGCGGGTGTATACGAGGAAATGATTTCGCACGATGCTAGGCGAATGTACTGTGTACGATTTCAGATCAAGTTGGATGAGTTACGCGTAGTAAATCGTAGGTATTATAAGGCTAGTAAATGACGAATTTCCCTTGTTTATTGAAGTCACACTCCTTCCCTATTATCTACTCCTGATAATATTAAATTAATCTAGCTCGTGCGATCCTGTAATCAAGTTATGCAGAAAGAGGTAATTTATTTAATTTAGTTAATATTTTATGATCAGAGGCATACTAAAAGTTAAACAGAAGTACAGAATGAATGCCTCATGATATAGTCTGGCTGTTGTTTAACTTTATTTTCCACATAACAGATGTGGACTACATTACACCGTTATGCTCTCAACTGACGTACGAAGGACTCCTGGATGAAATATTTGGGATTAACAGTGGTAGGTTATTACTGTATAAAACATGTGATAGTGTCTTTGCATATATGTAGGTATTAGCTCAGGAATGGGTCATAGTATGGCTTTACTAATACACGTATCTATTGCTATGATCATTTCATTATCTATCTAGATCTTGGTTATAGCTACATTATTAATAGTGTAGCTATTCTTCATCATAAATAATTCAGCTTTATTAATTTTATAAACAGGCTTGTAGAATTAGGCTAAAATTTCACATGCATATGTTCTGATCTTGCGGGATGGGTAGCAGTGGGGTAGTGGATAGCACTCACAACATAGAGCCGAAAAGTCTGGGCTTTAAGTCCCACATTGCCATTGAGAAAAGAAATTCATCCCAATTAGCTTCAGTTGACACCATCTATAGAAATGAGTCATCCGTCACTACACTAAGCTCAGCTGGGATAAGGCCAGCAATCTTAGCCTATAAAATAACTGTTACAAGAGACCAAGGCAACATGGCTGTCTAGAACCTCTCCTCCACGACGAGAGAGAGAGAGAGAGAGAGAGAGAGAGAACAAATATTCTAGTGTTATACATTCAAAATTGGCCACAACTTCTAATTCGTATCACAGTTTGGTCAGCACAATTTGTGATATATTCTGCAGGATACTGCGACTTTGGACCAGAGGTTATGGGTAAAGACCAGACAATACGGTTGCTGCTGACATGCCAAGATGAGGTATAAATATTAATAAACTCCTTTCACTAAATTGCCCCCCCCCCTTGGTGTAGGTGAGGTAAACTGGCTTCGAATCAGTTGCACTAGGCAATGCCCAGTGGTTCCAAATCTCAGTAAATTACAAGTTCATAACATAATTTGTCTCATGCAATTATTCCACCCCTCTCCCCAAAGAAAAATCTGGGAGACAGTGTACATGCTAAGTATTTTAGAGTAGGCGTTGATGAGGTTGTTTTTATAATTGATGTTGCTCGGCATTCGTGCGAATTCAAAATGTTTAGATGTCATGCAAGTTGATCATGTCATCCTTCCGAAACAGTGTCATAAATGTTAATGTTGTTTTGGTGCAGCACACGTATACCCTCTACTTCTGCAGATGGGGTCGTTGTCGTATCAGGTACTACAGACATGTACCCGTGGTAGTTTTAGGTTGTTTAGTATTATGTTTATATTTTTATATGAGGTATGTTCAGGGTTAGGGTTAGGGTTAGCGTTAGGGTTAGGTTTAGGGTACACTTCTGTAGTACAAGTCTGGTACACTTTGTGTATACACATATGTACCTCGGGTACATATCTGTAGTACCTGATACGACAACGACCCCTTGAGCTCTACTTCTGCACCTACTAATAGTAGTCATTTCGAGCACGATTTAATTTACAACCTAGCTCCATCATTGTGACTAGCAGGTAATGTGTGTAAATAGTTAATGAGATGTGATGGAAATTTTATTATTGTGTTACATCCTTAGGGTGGTTAGGTTGAGTAAAAGCCATTGCGTATACTGTATGTGCTTCTGGTTTACTGTGTAGGTAGTCTATGAACGTCCTCAACAAAGTATCGCAATTCTTCTAAATTATAATGTGTTTATTCATTGTATAACCATATAAACATAAATGTAGTATATATATATAGAGAGAGAGGAGACAGAGAGAGAGAGTAGAGAGAGGAGAGAGAGAGAGCAGAGAGAGATGAGAGACAAAGAGCGAGCGAGAGAGAGAGAGAGAGAGAGAGAGAGAGAGAGGAGAGACAGAGAGAGAGAGAGAGAGAGAGAGCGAAGAGGCAGAGAGAGAGAGAGAGAGAGAGAAGAGAGATAGAGAGAAGAGATAGGAGAGAGAGAAGAGGCGAGAGAGAGAGATGAGAGAAGAGAGAAGAGAGACGAGAGAGAGAGAGAGAGAGAGAGAGAGAGAGAGAGAGAGAGAGAGAGAGAGAGAGAGAGGGGGGAAAGAGGTGGAGGAAGAGAGAGAAATGGGGGGAGGGCGAGGTAGTGGCGATCTGTTAGTAGTGGAACAGGTGCACACGCACACGAACACAGGCATATATGGGGTGAGAAGGTAGGGAGCGAAAGAAGGGATAGAAGTAGGGAAAAAGGAAATATGTATGCACATTCTGGGCTGATTATGATTAACTAGACTGATCTATGAGATATATTAATACATGTTTTGTTGCATTCATGTTCGCACTGCATATAATAATTAGCATGTGTGTCAAATGTGTAATTTAAATCAGTGATCTAATTAAAGTACTATGTACTATTTGCAGGTATTTGACGATATTAGAAATAGACATTTCTCAGGCGTCTTCAACTTTCTGAGCACGAAAGCAAAAGAACTGGCATCAGATTATGAAGTAGGTCTCAACTTTTCTTCACTGTTAAGCCTAAATAGCCAGTGTTATATAACACTGGATTTCGCTCAGGTAAACAGACGGATATTACCTCAAAACACGTTTGTAATGTGCCGTTGAATCTTATGCCATATTCTAGCATCTGGAAGAGTTCTAAAAGGTAATGTCAAATACATATATATATGTGCTTCGCGTGCATAAAAATGGCTTCATACGCCGTAGGTTGATGATGTGTGTGATAAAGAACAGCACTTTATTTGCAAAAGTTTCGAGCAAAAAAATGAGACGTATGATGTCATAACTAATTATGTGTTTGACAACGGGCCACTAGCTTATACAAAACATACAATGACTACTATATGTACCTATATGTTTCTAAGCAATATTCGATTATACGTTAAAGTCCAATCTCAAAGGACACCCACGTGCCATCATAATCCTCATTGTGGCCGTGAGCTCTTCATGTTATCATGTATTCTTGGTTTTTACTGTAGAAACGGAAAAACCTGGCGACCGTCGGTGAGATGAAAGACTTTGTTGCTAATAAATTGAAAGCATTAAAGGCACAGCACAAGTCTCTCGCATTACGTAAGTGCAAAAAATGTAGCAACGTAAGTTACCTGGCATCACGTATCATTGAAAGGTAGATACATTGGTGAATTCATGAATTGCGTTTATCAGATTTACGAACTAGCAGTTTCCAGCTGGTTAATTTTACTTTCACATTAAAATTGTTTAGTCTGCTAGGAGAATATAATCTTCGAATTATAATGTTGTAAAATGCCATCTTACTAATAACACTGTCATCTCTCCTAATGTTGTATTTGCATTAATCAACAATGGAACTCCAAATGCCAATTGTAAACTGATTTTCTATTGGTGGTAGCACAATATTACTGAATAGCAGTGTAAGAAACGACAGCCTCAATAAGAAGATAAAGAGCAATGGCCAAAGTCAATAGTTGAAAGGAACGATTTTACTCATGTTAGAAGCAGCGATGCCAGTTCTATAGGTCAATCAGGTCAATCTTTAAATAGCCACAGTTACACTGTTACACGCTTTTAGAAAAATAATGGGTAAGAAAAAATGGTAATTGTATGATGTTGCAGACATTGGAGCTTCAGAACACATTATCAACGTTAAAGCAAAGACCGACTTTGAAGAACACTTGCGAACTGAACACAGTAAGTATTGCAGGTGGGAGAGTGGTTATTCTCTAATCAATTATAGTAGATCATTGACGAAGTAATCTCGTACTTTTTCTAAACAATACATCACGTTTTTAATAGATCAATTCAATAAAATATAAATTCAATTGACTTCAACATACTGTGTGATATATTACTGATTTAGGGAAAAACTTCGAAGTTCCTCGTTTTAGAAGTCGGACCATATTGTTAACTATTCGTTTGTGTAATCTAATGAGCAATGAATTTTTGTGGTGGGAATATACTACCATCGTTGACTTTATTTTCATATAATGGTTTACATGCTTATATATTTTAATTAAACAATTGTTTTACGCATGTAGTCTTATTTTAGATTTAAGAATGAGACATTTTATTGGCATGGCATGGCACTCACCACGTGAGAATTTGTGAGCTAATTCGATTTTTTTATCATTTACAACAGGTTTGTTGGACACAAGTCAAATAAAAGAGAATATAGCTTATATAGAAGAGGCAATCAATAGACAGGTATCTTTTTAATGTAATGTGTGATCAATATATCTTAAGTATCTGAGATTATGAAAACACATTTACTTGTATAGTTTATCAGTAAGATAAATTAATTATATATATGTATATATATATATAATATATATATATATATATATATATATACATATACATATGCATGAAATAAAACTATTACTGCAAATGTATACAACTGTATACAGCTTGTTAACATCGTAGTCTTACAGAAAGCCACTGTATGCTTTCAAAACAGTGCACCAGACAAGCTGGTTAAAAGATTATTGAGTCGTGGTTGACCATTAAGACCCAGCATCCATTAGATTGGCTGTCATTTCAGAATCAACTGCCACTACAGGTGCACCCGATTCGTTGGTAAAAGTGGTTGGAGACATTTGATCACCCCTGATCTGATAAACGTGTGAATTGTTAGATGGCAGACCATTTTTAGGAGGCAATTACCCGATATTTTTTTGCCGGACTTTGTAGCACATACTATTTCTCGACACTGATCTCTGATAGTAGGACAACTATACTGTAATTCCTGCGGGCACACACAATACCAGAAGTTGTTGTGTTGTAACTGTTTCTGATCGCGTATATACGAAGACTTCTGCTATACCTCTGATGATGAGCCAAATGAATAGACTGCATGGATGCACTAGCTGCCAGGGCAATAATGAGTGTAGCCCAGCCATGGCTAAAGGCATGGCGCGATTGGCATGTCTGGTCTGTGTTTACAGCATTCGCTAATTGTGCCGTGTAATAGTGTCAGCAGCATCGTTATATAGACTTATATTATATAGTAATAAATATAATTATATATATATATATATTATATATAATAATATAATAGATAATTATATAATTATATAATATATATATATATAGTATATATATAATAATATAATCAAGAGTAGATAATAACAATATGTGTGTTAATTAACACACACATTAATAACACACACAAATTATGTGTTATTATCTACTCTGATATAATATATAATTTATAATTATATATATATATTATATATATATATATAGTATAATCTCCTGATATAATAATCTATTATATAATATAGTCTATATTAAGACGTTCGTAACAGTGTTGTCAGTTGTGCTAATTGCTCGATATCATGATCGAATCCTTCCCATCAGATAAAACCGTGAATATTGGCATCCTCATATTCGCAATCCGTTATCCGAGTATTTTTGTATTTTCCTGAGGCTTTGCATTGAGTGTCTGGCACGTAATGTAATCTTATCGTCTCGAAAGTTTCGTCTGTTCGCCGAATGTAATTAGTTCACGTTGGGTTCTCCCCACGTAGCCCCCACCTCGCCTGCATGCCTTGTACTCGTGACCTACTATAGGGACCCATCTCCTCCCCACCCTCAGCTGGAACCTCTTACACTGGGGCACGTTGATTAGCGCTGGACAGATTTTTCTTCGTTTTTTCGGGTTAAATGCTGTTTATTTTGGTATTTTCTTGCCGTGGTACTTCTCGTGTTCGTTCTAGTGTTGATCGAGTTGCTTGGTGTACTGTACGGGTTTTAACGAATGCTTGTAGTTTTGCTCAACATTGTTATCTTGATTGATTTTAAATGCAAGATCTAGGGTTCTCCAAGCTTTTTCATTATAGCATGGCGGGGCGCTTTACGGTCCTAGTTTTAGCATTGTTTAGCTAATTTTAGCATAGGCGGCTATGATATTTAGAGTGGCGGCTCATTTTTAGGATGGGGGGGGGGGCTCGACGATAGCCTAGTGGGCTATAAGTGCTCTTGGAGAACCCTGAGATCGTTCTGGTTTTGCTTTACCATTACGTGGAGCAATACACAGTTTGTTCTCTCTCCAAAGCTGGTCGCAGGCTATATGATATAATATATATATATATATTAATATATATGATATGATATATGAGCTCTTGATATTATATATATATTATATATAAGATTGGGATGATAATACGTCAGCACCCAGTTGATGATTACCAGCGACTTTGGGATTATAGATGCTTTCTCAGAGGTGCTCAGATAATTGAGAGCTCTAGTTCCTTAGAAATCACCCTATGATATACTATCTTAGATGTTCAGTTAATCTAATGGACAGGTCCCTGCCGACTTACAGAATGTGATGCGGCCCATATATATATATCAAGAGTGGATAACAAGAGATTCTCTTTTATCCACTCTTGATTATTGATATATATATATATATATATTATATATAATATAATAATATATATATATATATATATATATATATATATATATATATGCTGAAGTATGTTGGTTTTGTGGTTTCATGCTATGCAACTATTGGACTTACAGGAGGTATGTAGCTACAAATTTAAAACCAATCTAGTATCTAATAATATACGTGGAGTTACTGAGCAATTGGCGTATTTGGCATGGTTTTAATAAAACGTTTTTAATTTTATTCAGAAAATAATCTGGCAATACAGGGCCATAGCCTTCGGGGGGGGGCAAAGTGGGCAGCTGCCCCCCTAGAATTTGGAGCAAAATTAAAAAATAAGCTTAGCTTAATAATCGTAAATAACCCTAACGTGATTTTCTGGTCACTTATCCGTGAAAACCTTGTCTCAGACCCACCCCTACCACACTATGGACGTTGATCAAGAGCTGCGCCCATCGCTCATCATTACACAGTTGAGTCATGAAGTTTTGCCCCCCCCCCCTAGGAATTTGCTCAGCCTACAGCCCTACTAGCAATATTGCTTTTAAGATATAAAATGTATCTTGTAAAAATCACTTAACTTATATTTCTTTTTTTACCATTTCCACGATTATGATACAAGCAGGGGAAGTTCTGTTGGCATAGTTTACATTGTATTTTTAAGGTTACTCTTGGCATAGAAATCGATTTAGAATGTTCATGAAATGCACTGTTTTCGCTTCTTTTCGAGTCTTTCGCGCAAAATGTATTAAAGTTCTATATCTTCATTTTCGTCTCATGGATGTCATTGATCTGTCATTGCCTTTCCTTTGGTTTACTTCAAATAATGTTTTAGAACGAAATCGTTCTGCAAACAATCACACACAATAAGCATTGCGACTTTCACTAAAGCAACGATATTAAATTCTGGCTATGAACACTGTTACTGTATATGGTCAGGGATTGATGTTACTTGCTATCCTTACGCTCACCCCAACCTCACAAAACGCATCTAGAAGTCCTGGTACCCAGTGTATGTGCGTGTGTCTGTGTATGTGCGTGTGTCTGTGTGTTATTACCAAACACAATATTGTCTCTAGCTTTTCTCTATTTGCAGTATCCACTGATGCAGTCTCTGCGTCTGCTTTGCCTCATGTCACAAGTTCTCAACGGCTTACCAAAGAATGACTACGAGGGACTGACAACACAGTTTCTGCAGGTCTGTATAGCTGTTTAACTTAACCCATCATTTAAAAAAATGAATGAAAGAATATTTGAAATATTTGGAATATCTGCTCGCACACTGGTGATCACTGTTAAGACATTTTTTTACGAATCCATGTGTGTTTTTGGAATTCTGTGTCTCTTGTCACAAAAAACTGTTATGTGCAGCCCTCGACACTAACGGTTGTCCGATTGCCCGGGACAAGTGAAAGTCTATGTCGGACAAGTTATTATCCTTGCCTAGATTGGCCCCGATCGCGACAACTGGAAAAGCTTCTAGTTGCTTAATATTACTTACACATCCCTCTGACCAGGTCGCTGCGCACCACATTCTCACTTCAAAACGCTTTTCAATAGGTCCACTGAAAAAAGCAGCCCGAGGACACCACTGTTACCATTACAGATTTTAGCAGGAGCGCAGCCGCAGCGCGTACCTCCCTCGCGTGGCGGCCGGCATTTGATTTATTGATACTGCCGGTAGGCGGTGTACGATTGTTTATAAGTCGGTTGCGGGCATATTTCATTTACTGAAGACTGTAGGGCGCCTGCGGATCCGCTGGGGTGACTATGAGCAGAGATGACAGCAAAAACTCTTTCCTGTGATTGCGAGGAGAAAGCTGCAAATCCGGGTCAATGACACACATGAGCGTGCCAGCATGCAAACATAACGTTGTCGTGAATTTCCATTACGATTTTACATGTACTGTGAATTTACTCGTGGTATTACAGTTATAACGCAATGTATATTATAACGTCTCAACCCCAATATTTGCCGCCATTTGAAAACATTGTACAAACATTGGTACAATTAACAACGATTTCTTTAGCCTCGTCTAATAAGAGTCACACCCTGATTTTTTAAATGAAGATTGTGCCTAACAAAAAAGCGCGGTTTAATTAGTGGCT